CAATGGTAAGTTTGAATGAATGAAAGCTGATGAAAAGCACGTGGAATGCAAAAAATCCACTCCTTTATACGGTTTTTCTGTACGCCTCTTGTAATAGTGACATGTAACTTGACCCATGAGGGTTTCCTCGTAACTTATTAAGCCGTCTTTATGGCCATTATTTGAGAAAAATAATGTTTTGAATAATGATTTTTATTAGAATGTAAAAATAGGAAAAAAATTTGAATTCAGATACAAGAATGTTTTGTTGTATGAATATATAGTTAAAAATGAATATACAGAAAAAGAGTGTTCAAATAATGGCCGTCAAATAGGGGCAAAGTTCTTGTCGTCCTAGCTAAGACTTTTCTCTGTGTAGGTTATATTTTTAGTTTGATAGCAAATATTTATTCAACTAATCAGCACGGTGTTAGCTTATTAATAATAGTGACCAACATGATTTTTTTTGTATTTTTTATTGTAATAACTCAGGTGTTCAAACTTCGCTTGACTAATCCTAAGGAGTGACGGCCTTCCCCCCGTGGTTCACCGCCCAAGTACATCCGAGTGCTATCATAGCTTATACACACTTGAGCTGGACATTTGGAATGCAATTCTTCTCTTTATAAACACCACTTTATGATGTGAGGATAAAATTTTGAAAGAACAACAAAGCGCACCATCTTAAAGAAGTTTGAGTTGGGTTGGACATTTTTTGGAGTGTTATACCCAATGTTGTGTCCTTTTGAATTATGGGTTAGGCAGAAAGAAGTGCTGGCATAACTTTAGTTTCCAAAGTGTGGGTCCCATTCTAGAATCTATGGCCACCCTAAGACCTTATTCTCGTATCACCACCACACACACAAAGAAAAAAGAAAGGAAAAAAAAGAAAAAAAAGAAAGAAAAAAAAAAGGTGCTGCAAAATTCAACTTTTCATAAATGGAATCAAGAATTTCACACCACTTCCATCATTCTGTCAATTAGTATATTAGCTATAGGAAAACTCGTGATTAAAAGTTCTACATCTATATTGAACAAGCAATTAGATATTTAATTTTGATTTTTAAATTTAATTTTTATAGTACTTAAATCTCAGACAGATGAATCTGGAGAGAAATTGCGCCAATCTTAAAAAAATACATAGTCATAGAGAAAATATTTTCTCTCTTTCTTTTTTCATGACATATTTCTTTGAAAATGATTTGGTCTATTTATTTCAATTATTTGGGTAAATTTTTTAACTCGGTCCAGCTGAGACAGCTTCATAAAGGTCAAGTTGGGTAGACAAACGCTTCACATATTTGAATTTGCTAATTGACCCCCATTTAATAATATCGTAATAGCCTTAGACCTTGTAAGTGAACTTCTATCCTTTTGCTTACTTTGACTTCAAGACTTTAAAGTGTCAAATTATGTACTTACTTACATATAAAAAAAATGAAGATAATCAAATATGCACTAACGTCTTAGAATAGGCAATTATTCACAGGCATTTATAGGGCCCTGCACAGTGAGAGGCCCAAGATGCATTAAAAAAAAAAGGGCCCCACATGTGTGTGTGGCCTGACAGCACCATGTATTTGTAAGCCTAACACGACTGTTCTTGAATATGAGACGAGATCCCAGAAAGAATTGCTCAAAGCCTCAAACTATTAAAAAAAATAATAATAACGTGGAATTTTAGGTGTTGACTGTAATTTTGATTATTGGGCCAAACCTTTAGCAATATCCATGTTGGAAATTGGTTTAGAATTGAAGCAAAATAGGTTTGAGTGTTAAAATCAAAATGTGAAAAAGTGACTTTGGTCAAATATTCAGACTTAATTCGATAGTCAAATTACAAATGTAAAAAGACTAATTTGTTCTACTTGTCGAGTAAATCATCGTGGTATATTTGGAATCTCAAATTCAATTTCGGATGAATGAGAAATTGCGGTCCAAAGTTGAAAGGAAAATAAAGAAAAACTAGCCTGAAAAATTGCCTAACTCTATCACTTACCTATCGCTTGAGCGAGAGGCTAGCGACAGGCTAGCGACAACAAGTCATGCTGCTATTCTCATGGTTACGCGACTTAGTACGCAACACTTCGCTCACAATTACTCATCCTCTATAAATAGGACCATTTGGACATCCATAAGTCATTCCATATCGATTTTGCACTAAGCATTACGCATCAAATTTCTTGCAAAAACTCTCCAAAACTCATTCCTTACCTTGTTGATTGGAGATTCCAAGATTTTTGTTCAAAGGGACTACCAAGTTATGAGGATTCAATGATGCACTTAAGAAATTATTTCCTAACTCATTTTTATGAAATTCAAGGATTTTCTGTAGAATGATTAAATGTTAAGATACTCTCTTAATGATTCATATATCTTGATTAAGTCAAGTAGAGTAGGACATATTACTCTTAATAGGAGATCACTTATATAAGTGTGAAGTGAGACTGCTTCAATTAGAATACTCATGGAACCAAGAGCGGTTCAGGGCCAAAATAAACCAATCCATGATAACCATGAACGAATTAGGGAAACATTTGTGTGAGTATTGTTATCTTGACTTACACTAAGGCTGAATAGTTCAAAACATCACGTTTATCAATTAGCCAAGTAAGCCCGATAGTATTTTACTAAGGAATGTTCAAAGACAGAAGCTACCTTACCCTATGTAGTCTCTCTCTCTCTCTATGATGCATCATAATTTTTGTATTCCATATGCGTATTTGAATTTCTATTCATGAGAGGGATTGTAGATGCATCATAATTTTTGTATTCCATATGCGTATTTTAATTTCTATTCATGAGAGGGATTGTCGGAAGTTGGTTTAGAATTGAAGGGAAATTGGTTAAGTGTTAAAACAAAAAATGTGAAAAAGTGACTTTCGTGTCAACTTCTGCCATATATTCAGATTTGATCCGATACTCAAATTACAAATGTAAAAGGACTAACTTATTTTACCCATCGGGTATATCATCGTGGTATATTAGGTATCTCAAAACCAATTCTGAATAAATAAGAAATTGCGGTCTAAAGTTAGAAGGAAAATAGAGGAAAAATTGGTCTGAAAAATTGCCTAACTTCGTCGCTCACCTATTGCTCGAGTGATAGACAAGCGAAAAGTTTCCGTAAATCAATAAGTCTTG